CAACAGAAACTGCGAGAAGCCCCAAATGTATAATTTAACACAATCTATGACGAGCAAATAGTATTTTTTTCTTCAAAAATGACTCATATACAAAAGATTGTGGAAAGTTAAAATTTGTAGGTTAAAGTGAAATAACAGTTTCTGTTTGAACAGTCTCAGCCACTCCGATATCATCATCATGACCATACATGGCCTTTAAATAGCGTCCGAACATCTATCACCTGGTGTGATGATTGGTCACGTTGCCTCTGATTGGACTGGATGGGCTGAAAAATGTGTATCTGGCAGAAGACGTTTTCTTAAATTCTTCCTGTTATTATACCTGCTCTGTGCTCCTTCACTCCCTGTGTCCATGTGTTGCCAGTCAGGAGGAGCAATGACAGACATCAATCCTCGAGACCTGTCATCACTAAGCACTGTACTCTGCCCAGCAGAGTGCAAACAGCAGGCCTGGCTTAAACAGCTGTTTTACTTCTCAGGGATATTAGCCTCAGAACACATCAGATACAGTGAGCATCCAGCACACATGCACGGTATGTGCACACACAGCTAAAGGTGAAGGAATGGAATGTGATGGTGCACCTCTGAGGTGGATGCACATGTTTTGAGCTTCCTAGAGCCTCTCGCTGTTATTGTGTCCTGAATTCTTTGAATGTCACGTTGTAATGAGCGAGAGCAGTTTGACTCACAGGGATTTATGGACGCAAGGCCGTCGGCTCTGGGAGATGAACGAGACATGCTCACCCTGTGGCTCTTTGATTTACCCCCTGACTTACACGAGCACGTCTGTATGACCACAGCTTGTGACAGTGATCAAGAGTTCACATGCCATTCTCAGTTCTCCAACTGTGCAGGAAAGAAGACACTTTTCTTTAAAAGTCACAGAGACTAATACTGCCAGTCGTGGTAAACACTGTGTTTCTATGAAGATGGAGTTTCATTTGGCTTAATGCCTGAGTCTCTGCTCAGAATGAACCAAGTGATGGATTCCTCTTACATTGGATAGTGTGAATGAAGGAGAATCAAGGTTCCACTTTAGTGAACAGGCCGATGATGAGGCTTTCATAGAAAGAGTTCACAGTTTAAAAATGCCGATGTTGATGTCTCATGGTTACAGCCAGGTGTATGCTTTGCTTTGCTCACCTATTTCTTTGTCCTTCTCTCCCCACCCTGTCTGTCCACATGGACATGTGCAGCTGTGTGCAGCTATGGTGTGTGCTTCAACGGTGGCCATTGTCGGGTGGGTTCCACCCAGCTCTGTGACTGTCCTGCAGGGTTCAACGGACCCAGCTGCCAGTATGGTGAGTACCAACATCCCTACTGTGTTTCTTAAGCTGTGAGCAGACATGAAATCCGGAAAATTGTGTCCAGACATTTGTTGGAGTTTGCCTTTCACATATGAAGAATGCAGGAGATTTTCTGGATCAGACAGGTGCACATCACGGGAACATTCAGGAGAGGAACATTCAGGAGAGGAACATTCAGGAGAGGAACATTCAGGAGAGGAACATTCAGGAGAGGAACATGGTAGCGTCTGGGTAGAAGATGCAGATCCACATTGAATCATTGTAAAAATCTCTCACATCTCGTCGTCTTTCCATTTTGACATCTTCATCTGAGACTTCTTCCAGTTTTGTATCTGCCGTTGTTAGAATAATCATCAACAAGTCCACTTGCTCACATTGACATTTTCCTGACATCTCACTTGAGGGCTGACAGGAGCTTTTCTGGAAAATGTCTGGACCAACTGACTCTGACATTTGTGTTCTCAGAGGAAGCCCCTCCAGACAATTTCAGGAATATATCCAGAGTTCAGTGCATGTCTGGAAGCAGAAGTTTGTTTTCGTTAAATTTGCCCCACTCAAGCGATTCTTAGGTATCGAGTGCAGAAATAAAGTGTTAAGTAATTTTGCTTTTGTTAGTCTTTGCTGGAGCCTGTTTTTCTGATCCATTTCACTCATCTCATCATTTAGAGATCGCCTTTCACTTTGAGTGAATTAGAATCTTCTCACATAAGCATAGGTTGTTTTTTTAACCAGAAGTCCAACTATTTAATCAGCAACTCCATTGTTGAATTAGCTGTTGAAGTAAAACAGTGGAGGGTTCTGTTGTTTTTCTGATAGCACCACACGACAGGAAATTCCTCTTTGTGTAACAATTTAGCAGAATCATCCATCTCTCCCTCCAGTTATACCCTCCCAGACGACACTGACTTCTGTTACATAAGAGTAGAGACAACTGCAAATCCTGGTTCCTTTGTTTCACGATGGTCTGACCTGACCTTACACTCTCTGACCAGCATCTTATATCTCCCAGCTCACCACTAAAGCTATTTTCAGAGATGCACTGAACTCCTTACATTTTTCTGAAATGATCCACAACCATTTCAACAACCATATAAATAATTTCTGATGTTAAATGTGATTTATTTGACTTCCTTAAAGTGATCATTTCCTTTGGGGTTTGGACTATTGGTCCCAAAAAGACATTTGATAAACTCTTGTTAAACTGCTTTCAGAAATGCACTGAACTCTGGATATTTTTTTTACAATTTTGTGGAGGGGACGTATGTGAGAAATCAAATATCAGAATCAGTTTCTCCGGATACTTAGACCCTAAAGTCAAATGTCCTGAGAATGTCTTAGTGAGCCCGTGTGAGAATACAGCAGGAAAATGTGGATGAAAGAGAAGAGCCACACACTTAGAAGATCATGACAAAGATTTTAAATTGAAAGGACAATGAGATTCCCGAACTTTTGACAATGATGGCCGATGCTAGTGTCGATGTACTGTAAACAAAAACATATGATTTCTGCAGCAGTATTTATACATGTCCTTCCTCCTACGTGCTCTACCCAGATGCCACCTCTTGCCTGAATGTTCTAGACATTTGTCTGTTAGTTTGACTCAGAGAGTCTCCTGATGCACTCTTCATACGTGATAGGCAATCTCCAGAAAATGTCCAGACTCAAGTCTGTTCTGTGGTGCGACTGTCGTGGCTACTATAGGAATCATGATCAAGCCTTTGGAAATCGGGCACCGACAACCCCTCCATATGATTAGGGCTCTCGCCGGCACCGAAGCTGACCTGACTTACTTCTGATTTCTTCATGCTTGAATGAAAGACTTAATCATAAGGACTGAGGATCCATAACCACACATGCTCAATGAGGTGCAGCCGAGCACAGCTTAAGGCCACAGTAAGTGAACATGCAGGACCTGATGGGCCTAGTGGAGGTCTTTGAGAAGATGGAAACCATGTGTTGAACCAGTTTGCGGATCACTCCTACATTAAAGGAACAGGTTTACCTAGAGTTATACCTATAGACAAAGTTACAAGTAGTAGACTTGGCATAAATACCCAGGAACGAAGAGTATGGGTTTGAATCCCCTGTAATATCAATGGATTGAATGATGTTATCTGAATGATGTGTGAGAAGGCTTTCACTTACTGCATGTATGTTGTGTAGGATGCCTGCCCTCCTTGATCTCAGCTCTAGCAGCTCATCAGTCATTGCAGAGCACCGCTGCATTTTTCCCTGACACATAATGATGTACAGTTTGCTAACCACTGTATCACTGGATTTGTGCTGAAGCAAAGGCAAGTGCGCATGAGGGGGGTTGTCACTCTTGACAGTGGGAGAGAGCGTTATGTTGGTCTCCTGGATGCTGCTCAACAAAACTCATAAAAAGTAAATTATTAATCTAACGGAAATCCCTCCCGCAATTTTTGCGTAATCCTGCTGTCAAACACACAAATTAGAATGGCACTCCACCATGGCACAACAAGTCACATTAAATTCAATCGAACAGCAACACATTTCTTCATTTTCAATTTATTTTCATCTATATCCATGAATTATTCTCTGGGATATTGGTGATAATGTTGGAAAACTCCTTATCTCGCCCCCTGGTCTGGATCTGCACCAAAATTGAATGAGTTCTTCCCTGACTCACACAGCATCGTCCCACCAAGTTTCATGAAAATCTGTTTAGTTTTTCTCTTTGTAATCTTGCTTTCAATCAAAAAACTCCTTGGCGGAGGTAATGAATCAGGGAAGAGAGAGAGTGGACATTATCAGGAATCCATCAAAACATCATCGCATCAGACAAATAATTAAGAAAAACAAGTGAAAGAGAAAGAATAAAAATATCTTGTGTAAGATTTGATTTATTGGTCTAATATCCGAACAAGACTTAGGATTCCTGTTTCTGACATCAAACCCCCCTAAGACACCACAACATTAACCTGTCACCCACACATTTATTGGACGAAATAAATAAATAAATCTTATCAAATGAAAACATGTCTCTTTCTGCAGTTTTGGCTTTAGAAAAATAAACAGTGCTGTTGAAACTCAAGCAGTTTCGCTCATCCTGTTGCCATATGTCAGTGCTTTTATTCACGGTCTCATTTTAAAGTATCAAGCAGAACATAAATAAAGGAAGTACAGTAGGTATTCTGGCACAACGTCACCTTCTTGTAATGTGCATGAAGAGGGGGAGCAGTGTTGAAACGTCAACAACACTTGTAGTATTGAGAGCTTATCACGCGACGGATGTGATTTGGCCTTTTGTTGTAGTCAAGACCATTCCATCAAAGCACACTGTCCTAATCTAGTGTAGGAAACCAAAGCCAGACATCAACTTCAGAAAATGTCCAGACAATAGGGTCTGGACTTTCTCCGGAGTTTGCGTTTCACATGTGAAGAACGCAGCTGGAGATTGCACGGGTCAGACAAATGAGTATTAAGATAAGGGGTGGTGTCCGCAGAGATAATGCAAGAAGAAGGACGCGACGCCAACTCGGGTGCGATAAATTCTCCAGACAATATCCTGCTGTATTCTCACATGTGCTCATGGAGAATGTCTGGAGCAACTGACTCAGTGATTTGCATTCTCACATTTAGCCCCTCCGGATAATTTCTGGATAATCCCTGGAGTTCAGTGAATGTCTGAAAGCAGCTATAGTTTGTTGCAAGCCAATTTAAACAAATGGAGACAAAGTTTGCTGATATTTAGCTCCACCAAAGAGGTTTTTATTTTCACCCCCTTCAACAGGATTACATAAAAAACTATGGACCAGATTTTCATGAAACTTGAAGGACGGGACTTGAGCCAAGAAAGAACATTTGACGAGGATCTGGGAAATTTTCATCACTTTATTCAATGTTGTAGGATTTGTTTCCTAGGGAATAATTCATGAAGCTTGTTGAAGTCAGTCTGTCACAATGAGGGAACTGATAACTATGAATGTGTAAATTTGGTGCAGCTTGATTGAATATAAGGGGACTGTTAGACCTTGGTTGAGATTTTATTTTATTTTTCATCATCTTTGCTTGGATGTTGTTCTGCCAGCTCTGAAATTCACTCCACTATCTCGACATCCCATCACAGTCTCCATCCTAGCTCTGCCTCTGGAAGACACTGTTTGATATCAGCCCAGACATCAGCCTCCCCCTTCCCTGTCATTGAGATCCAGCAGCATTGTTCTGCAATGTGAATGATAGCTGTCATGAATGGGCACCTAGGGGCCCATGCTGGTGGAGAGCTATGCAGCAGACCCCCACACCCTGATCCTCCCCACTATTGGAGGCTATCAGTCCTCAAACAGTCTGGCAGTTATATAGCTCTGTGATTGGCACTGAATGGTCTGCAGGAAGAAGGGGGGTTGCGTGTGACTCCGCTTGACCAGGGGCAACAACTTGGGATGATGAGAGTGGGACACAGTCAGGAATAGTCTCGCAGCTGTCCCTTTTTTTTGGGCTCATACATGGGCCAAATACAGGTCACATCAGTGTCAAGAGTCCTGAGGGCAACGGCAAAAGCTGCGGGCTGAGTATAAAGTGGATCTGATATATTGTTCCGACATAATGAAGAACACTCTGCGGTGGTCAGACACATTAACATTTTCTTGTTGCGCTGTCACTTTTTTTGGGCCCTGGATAAATAACCTCAGTGGTTGTGGGGATGAGGGCACGGCCGCTCTCACATGCTGATGTTATAATTCAGTTATGGCTGCGGTCCACATGTTTCACACAGCTGTCAGTCACCGCCTGTTCTCTTGTCATGTCAACGTAAAAAAGCCGAAGCCGTGGAGGAGAATGTGGTCGAGGACAGCCGCCCTTCACTCAAAGATTCCCTCATCGTTTAATAACCACAGACCGTTCTCGGCAGCATTCCTCCGCCGTCTTGTGTGATGATGTCCCCTCGGTGCGTTTCATGTGGTTCCTCCATGTTTGTGTACAGCGATTGGTGTGTGTGTTTATGACGTTCAAAGGGGCCAATTAGTGCCATGTTC